GTGAAGAAGGAGGGTACCGACCGCTGCTGACGGTGACGGTCTTTGCTGCAGGCGATTTGAAAAGAGGTGGCGTGACTGGTGTCACAACCGAGATGTATGAGAACCGCACCGCATCTCTTTTTCGTCTCGTCATCCTCTAGGTCCACTGCAGCCAGAAGCCACACGCACCGTGCGGCAGCGGCGTTACCACCATCCGGAATTCTATGAGCCAATCAGACTGCACAATTGATTTGGGCTCTTGTCCCCCGCGTCTGAGTACTGCCGCTGTGCTTTTTCTTTTTCTTGCTGTGTATGCCATGCACTTATGATTTTGCTGTTTGTTGTGTAATGCAGAACCATCTGTTACACTAGCGGCACCAATGGTCATGTGTCTTTTTGACAGGATCGCGCAACTTGGCACGGCGGCTGTGTGAGGCTGCGCGGGTGGTGGGAGGGCGGTGACATCACCGAGCTGACTGCGTCTGCGCTTCTTTTTGTCACTGGTTGTGCTTTGGTGGAACTGTCTTCGGTTGGATGCTTCTGTGTGTCACTGTGTTTAGCTACTGTTGTTGCTGTTTTTATTCTTATTTTGACTGTGCAGTTAGAGATACTTTGGACTGGCCAGCGCAACTATCGTTTCAGGGTGTTAGGGATTACTCGCAGTATTAGGATTAGCATCAGTGTGATATCGATCTGGCGGAATTGTGTCATTGGATTTTCCATCTGTAGAACGGGATTTGCTAAGTAGGAGTTATGGTCGACGGGGCGAGTGCAATACATCACGACAGCCCTGTTGATACGTGTCTGGGTCGGTGGATGTGGTCTGCGGTGGGTGCGTGTCCGCGCAGCCGTCACCGTGTGCGGCGCAGGGCCATTGCGAATGTGCGTGCGGCGCTGCTTGTGGCGTTGGCGCTGGTTGCTGCTGCTGCGTGGATGCCCGCGGTGCATGCGGTGGTGTTGCGACTGCGGGGCGGCACGGTGGACAGAGCCATCACGGTTGGCCGCGCCGTGGACACGGTGCTGATGGACGGCGTGTCCATCACGAACGGCGTGGCTGTTGTGTTCGACGTGCCTGCGATGCTTCCCGGCGCTCTGCTCATCGAACTGAGGAACTGTGTGTGCGACGGCGGTGCGCAGATCTACGTGCGGGGCTACGGCGGCGAGCCGGCGAGTGACCGGAGCCTGGAGGTGAGTGTGAGCGGGCTATCCGGCGACTACTGCTCGCTTGTGTTTGTGCACAACCTGCCGGCACACACGAACGTGACGGTCCGTGACTCGACGATTGTGACGCCGGGACCGATGCGCTACTCGCAGCTGAGCGGGCTGACGGACGCGGTGGCGTCGCCGCTTGTGCTGCACGCGACGTCGCTGTTGCAGTCGCAGCTGCGTGTGAGCAACACAGTGCTGAGGTCGTTGCAGGCGGGCGGGTCGGCGGTGTACGTTGGCGGCGGTGTGGACCTGCTGTCGAGCGCTGTGGTGCTTGACGGCGTGTCGCTGGAGGCGTCGGACGGTCCGACCGCGTCCGCGATGCATGTGGCGTCCTCGTCGCGTCTCAGTCTGCGGGGCCACTCGGTGTTCTCCGTGACGAACGTGTCGGTTGTGAGCAGCGGCGGCGGCCTTGTGCTTGGAGAGCGTGTTACTGTGTTTGATTCGGTGCTGCGCTTCGTGCGCGTCGAGGGGTCTGTCACGTCCTCGCTGGTGTGCTGCGACGGTGGGACTGTCGGTGGCGGCGGGTGGCTGGACCTGCACGACGTGTGGGCGGTGGGCGAGGCGTCGTCCGTGGCGTCGCTGTCGGGGGTGACGCTGAGCGGCGGCACCGTGTCGATTGCACGCTGCGCTGCCGTTGGCGCGACGCTTGTCTCCGGGCCGACGATCACGAGCGGCGTCGTGTCGGTGCAGTGCAACCGTGCCGGCGGCCGGGTGCTGCGGAGCAGCGGCGACTACCGCATGGCCGGCCTGTCCTCCGTGAGCGTGGTGCCGTGCGACGGCTGTGCGGCCGCGCTGGCGTGCTTTGATGCGCTGACGGCGTCGTTCTCCGACTGTGCTTGCAGCTGCCTTGCCGGCGGCTTGGGCGAGGCGTGCCTGCCGTTCGACGTGCCGGTTGCGAGGTCCGGCGGCGGTGGCGATACCGCGGAGGGCTGCGTGAGTGGCGTGGCGCTGACGGAGTCGGTGACGGTTGGCGGCGGGCGTGCGACGGCGTGCTTCGACTCGGTGGTGTTCAGCGGGCCGATCACTGTGGCGTTGGACCTGCGCTCGATGGACGCGTTCGCTGGCGCGTTGAACGTGACGCTGCGCCACTGCGTGCTTGCGGGCGGCGCGCAGCTGCGGATTGGTGGCCTCAGCGAGATCACGGCGCGCCTGATGCCCCACGCCCTCGTCAACATGACGAACGTGACGTCGGTGGAGGGCACGATTGTGCTGCATGGCGCGATGCCGCTGCACTCGAGCGTGCTGCTGGCGAACTCAACGCTGCGCGCGACGGTTGGCGGGTCGCAGTACGTGCCGACGGCCCGTGGCCATGCGAGATCCCGGTACGGCCCCGCGCTTGTCCTGGACGGCGTCCGGCTACTGTCGACGCGGTTTGTCATGACGCGGTCGACGCTGGTGTGTGGCGGGGAGTCGTGCGCTGCGATCCTCGTTGAGCGCGGCCTCGGCGTGCACCTGTCCAGCGTCTTCTACATGGACAATTGCGCTGTCGTGTCGCAGATGCACGTGATGTACGCTCTTGCGTCGGGCCTGCGTGTCAGCGGCGGCTCCGTGTTCTCCGTACAGAACAGCTCGTGGAGTGCACCGAGCATTGGCTTCTACGAAGGTGCGTGTGTGTTCAAGGACGTTGCGGTGGATGGTGGCAGCGTGCTGCAGATTGTGTCCAGCAATTTCCGTCTTGGCTTTGCCATGCTCATTGCAACCACGCTGACTGTGACTGGCGGCAGCTGGCTGGTGCACCGTGACAACGAGTTTCGCACCGCCTACGTTGTGCACGTGGCCAGCGAGAACGGCGTGGCATTCTGCGATCGGAGTCTGTGGTCGATACTTGACAACAACTTCACGTACGGCTCGTACTCGTCAACCATTGCACACATGACAAGCAACTGGTTACCACCATCCGACTCGCGCCCGACCATCTACGGTGTGTGCAACGAGATAAGAGGCTCTCCTGTGGCGAATTACGGAGAAGAGCTCAACATTGGGGTGCCCGTGACGGTGTTGGACTGTGGTGCGTGCACCGTGGACGCCGTGTGCTTTGCTGCGAGGACGAGCAGCATCAGCGGCTGTGAGTGTGTGTGCGCTGCTGGCGGCTACGGTGACACATGTCTGCCGGCTGTGGTTCCGGACGGTCTTGGGCCGCTCCCGCTCCCCGATGCGAGGGACACGGAGGTCCGCTGCGTGCACGGTGGCAGCATCAGCTCCGTATACTATCCTGATCCCGGTGTGCGTGGTCTGTGCTTCGTCAACGTAACCTTCACTGCCGCGATTGTGCTGGACTTGTCGTATTTCGATGCGCCACAACAGACACTCAACATCACGCTGCTGCAGTGCGTCCTCATGGACCTGTCGGTCAGGGGGAGTGGTGTGCGAGTGCACGTGAACGTGACATCCTCGATGCTGGATTCTGGTGAGTTGGAGTTCAGGGGTGTTTTTGGCGTGAGCTCCCAGATACTGGTGGCGTGCAGTACGCTTGTGACGATGTCGAGCCACGCTATTGCCTTCCGGGAATTTTTCCTTGGCGCGAACTCGACGCTGCTGCTACTCGACAACTACATTGAGGGGAATAGGCACGCAGTCTATTTCTTCAATGCTGTTGTTGTTGATGGTGGCGGGATCATTGTGAAGGGAAATACGCTGAGGGCAACGGATAATAACGGTGCGGAGTCAGCCGTTTGCGTTCATGCTGTTGTTATGAAGAACGGCGGCTACCTTGACGTTGAGAACAACGCGATGAGCGCGGTCATAGGCGTTTGGTTTGTGAAGAGGGCCACCGTGAGCTCCGCGGGGCTGCTGCGAGTGGCGGACTGCACCTTCGTTTACAGGAAGAAATTTTTTGATCCCGCGCTGGTGTATTTTTCTAACTCTCTCATCCTTCAGGGTGGAGCGCAGTGGCGTGTGGAGAGAAACAGCGTGAGTGCAGCCTCCTTATTAATTGTGCCACGTCCCCAGCGTAAAATTCAGCTGTCAGGCAGCGGCACCACCGTGGTGCTTGCACACAACCGTCAGGTGGACTCGAGTAAAGCCTTTGTCAATATTTTCCCATCGAGCATTGTCGTGACGTCATCCGCGCGGTTTGTGGTTGGGTGCAACCTGCAGGGCGGTGAGGAGGTGTTGTACGACGGTGTATTTCCGGAGGGTGTGGTGGTGTTCAGGTGCGGCACATGCAACGACGACGCGGCGTGCTACATGCCCGGGACGGAGTTGGTGGACCGCAGCTCGTGCTCGTGCAGCTGCAAGGACGGATGGCATGGCGCGTCGTGTCTTCCCTTCAAGGTGCCCGACACGGTTTTGCTCCCCTTGCCGGAGAGAGCCGTCGACGGCGACACGAGCTGCGTGGTGAACCAGACACTGACGAAAATTATGCTGAACATGTGGAAGACGCACCACTGCTACGCGGGTGTGACATTCAGCGGCGTGGGTGCTGTGCTAACGTTTTCCTTTGACAGTATGCTGCTGCATCTCCCCATCAACATCACGCTCACTGGATGCACGTTCCGTGGCGGTGCCGTGGTGCAATTTTTTGGTGGTGCTGAGTCGGCCGAGTCAGCCGGTGTCCTGATCCGCGTGAGCCAGACGGTGATGCGTTCCTCCGTTGTTGTTTTTGCAGCTGCCCTCCCGCAGCACTGCGACATTGCCGTCACGGAGGTTGACGCGGTGCAGTCTTCCGCGGTCGACTTACCGGGCACTGTGAGCAAGACGCTGAGCGTATTGCTGCTGAGGAACGTTGTGCTGACTACATCCTCGCTGCTGGTCAGCAACGTCAATGCGCATGCATCGAGGCGTGGCGGGTTTGGTTTGCACTCTACCGGGACGCTGACGCTGGTGGGTGGCAGCTCTCTTTACGCGCGTTACTGCAGCTTTGATGGGTACGAACACCTGTTGTACATGAATATTCTCAGTGTGAGTGACCACTCTGTTTTTGCGCTGCTCAACAATACAATGGCCTCCGGGACAAGCCTTCTGTGTCAACAACAAGAATTGAGCGTGTCGGATCACAGCGTGTTGCGCGTGGTGGGGAACAGCGGTTCCGTCTCATACGCCATCCTTGCAGAAGGCTCGTGGGCCGTCCTGGAGTCAAGCTGGCTGGATTGGCGTGACAACGACGTGGGTGTGGGTGCGATTTTCAAGGTATGGGATTCCGCCTTTGTGAGCACTGACGGCAGCAGTGTGGTGACGCTGACGGGCTGCAAGATGGGCTCGACGGGGCTGTCGGTACCCTTGCTATCGCAGGCTGACGCCGGCTACCGGTTTGTTGCTGGGTGCCTGACGGTCGCGGGACGGTTGGTGACGACGGCGGCTGAACTGGAGCTCCACGGCATCACCGACGTGACGACGGTTGCTGCGTGCGGGGAGTGCACGAAGGACGGCGACTGCTTTGCTCCGCTGACGACGGCTATCAGCGACTGCAAGTGCCAGTGCGCTGCTGGAGGGCACGGCGATGTGTGCGTCCCGGCGCCTGTGCCTGCTGGCCCGCCGCCACCGCTCACGCCGCCACCACCGCCACCACCGCCACCACCGCCGATTGGTGAGTGCATCAGCGACATGGTGTGCCCCGAGGTTGCGCAGGCTGTGGGCGGCGGGCTGTCGTGGCTGTGCTACCGCAACGTGACGTTCAGCGGGGGCGGCATGAGCCTGACGGTGCTGGTCGGGGCGATGACGGGCGACGTGGTGAATGTCACGTTTGATGGATGCACGTGGAGGGACGGCGCCGTGCTGTTGGTGTTGGGCAACACGTACGCCGCTGTGGGGTCACTGAACATCCTCGTCA